AATGAAAATAAACCAAAGAGTTACCCAGTCGGCCAGTGATGGAATGCCGTCTATGATTGCCGATTGCATAATTATAATAATTTTATTTTTCATTATTTCTATAATGTTAGTAATTCATATTAGGAACAATTTTGGTTAGGTTCGTAATCGGCGCATAATCTATTCTCATTTCTCAGAAGCTTCTGCAGTTGTCGCCGATAATCGACCGACGGGCGACGACCGATCGAGACAGTCATTATGGTTTAATTAACTTATTGGCGTAGTGGGGGAATTCGCGGCCGCCGTCACAACGGCAAGTAGGTAGCAGCACATGATGGTAATGAAAAATCAAATCTAACGACGTAAACATGCTGTCGAAAAACAAACGAAAAGCCATTAAAAAGTGGTTTTAGAGTAAATATATCTATAATAAATTTTATAGAGGACAATATTTCAGAGGGAACCTCATTGGGGTTTTGTATTAATCTAAATACACGGCTTGATATGAAAGACACAAAAAACTTTTTTTTTTACATTTTTTTTACAATTGTAACTTCTTTAATACTTGATATTTTGAAAAACCCCGATGAGGTTCCCTCCTAAATATTGTTCTCTATAAATTTCATTATGAGTATTTTTATTCTAAAACCATTTTTTGATGTCATTTCGTTTGTTTTTCGTAGACGTGTTTTTATCAGTGAAAATAACCAGTGTAGCGTCCTCTTAATAATTTAAAATAAGCATCTAAAAGTATAAAATGGAAGAAATATGCCCTAAAAACCAAAAAAATGCAAAATATGCATTTATATGAACAATAAAATTTCAAAATTAACTTTATGGAAACATGAAACGTATTGTTTCGCACTCTGCTATTTTTGTGACTGTGCAAAAAAAATATGTAAATACCACAAGTCCTCTGTTCTACTCATTATGCATAGAAAAACAAAATTTTTATTGTCAAAATATATAAATTTATTATTTAAATAATGGTGGTGGAAGTTCGTCCTTCGTCTGTTCAGTCATCAAACTGAATAAAATTAATAGGTAGGGTTGCCAGATTTCGAAATCCCTAAGCTGGAGCATCATATTAAATGACTTTTATTATTTTGATACAAAAAAATAAGTATATAATTTTGTAGTTTAAATATTTATTGGCTAATACAAAAATACATTATTATTGTATAAAACCATACCGATTAAGTTACCATAATACAATAATATAATGTACAATATTATTTTATATTTCATTATTAAATAATATAATATTAAATGTTATTTTCTCTCAGCTTCTATTAATCGGGATAAACTAAATAATCGGTTGGGACATCGGGACGAGTGGCAAGCCTAGTAGTAAATATACTAAGTTTTAAAGAAATGATAAGTCAAAAATTTTTTTCATTGAAATTGCGCCACTGGTCAGACAGCTCGGACACGGTCATTTCGACGCGACCGTTTCGGCGCGAGGTAGGTTTCGACGTTGGATTACACTAATTTACATAATACACAAATTTACTTCTATAAAATTAATATTATAATTCACTTTTATAGATATTGTCAAAAAATTTACAATTTTAATAAAATATCAATCTAACCTAACCTGTTTAATAAATAATAAATATAAAATTAATAATACAATATCAATATGTCACTCTTTTAATAATAAAATAAATATGTAGTATATTAACCCTTTCAGACCCAAATTAATTTCTTATAGAGATAAAAAAATTTTATTGCTTATTTATTTTACTATGGACTATAAGAGTAAAATGTTTTTAAAAAAATTTATTTTTAGATTTTGACGAATTTAGGAGTATGTCCTCTATAGGGGACATTGAATCTGAATGGTTACAAAAAAATTAAAATTAAAATTATTATATTAAATTTTAAAATGTTTCAATAAGTATAATAGCAATATAATGTAATGAAAAATTATTATTTTTATTCATAATTACAATAAAATAAAATAAAATACCTGTGAATAATAAAACAATTATTTATACAATATACCATTTTATTGATGAAAATTAAAAAAACAATTATTTGTACTATTAAAACATAAATGGATATTACATTTTGTGCAAAATACATGTGTTTTTCCGTTGCACCCAGGATTTTTGCATCTTGATGTGTTCTCTTTTGTATCAAATTTAGGAAAATGATCAAATTTATCTTTTCGCACATCATTTGACGGCTGACTATCAACTTTTCGTGCTTTAGAATGAAATATCGAGATTTTCTCCTGTATCTGTACGAAGTCTTCTCCTACGTGTTGGCGTTATATTTTGATTTTCTTTTATTAGATTTTTCGCTAGTTCCATACGAGAATATAAGAGATCTTTTCTTTTTTTTTATTTATATTATAATGGTCTGTGTCTTTTAAATATTGCAACCAACAGTTTGCCACTACAAGATCGAAAGCGTGTACAATCATTCGTAGGGTCCATTTTCTTGAACGTATAAACGTTCTATAATAACTTATAAGTTAGTCTATTTTATCAACACCCTCCATTGAAGTATTATATACTGTTACTATTTCCGGCCTTTCAATATTGACGCACATTTTTTGTTTTTTATCCCAACGTCTGATAGTTTCCAATTGTCCAGACCCAATATAGTTGGAAACTAAACAAATAGACCTTGTATTATACCATTTTACCATACATAAATAGCAGTTATTCATGTTTGTAGAAATTTCAAATTCTGACACGTTACCGTCCCACAATAAATCAAAAATTTCATGGTCGCATAACCCCCTAGCCATTTTAAATAAAATAAATAATAAAATAACTAATAAAATGTAATATATTCTATTTTATTACTTTATAATATTATAATGACGTATAAGCATAATATAGGGAGCGAAATGTAATCGGTATTGTAACGACACGTGAAACACTGACGAAGTGATTACGAAATCACGAACGCCACGAACGTTCAGACCCAATGTCCTCTAAGAGGGACACTTACAAAAAATTCGATAAAATTAGTTATATCAAACATAATAAAGTGAAAATTAGTTCAAAACACTTATATGATAGTTACCGAAATAAGAAAAAAAACCAAGCAATTATCACTATCGGTTAATAATCTATAGACATTTATATATACCAATTTCGTGGAAATAATAACAATGAAATAATATAAGATAACTCTGTCTTTAACTCTAGAAATTCGAGTCCCACATTAGTTATGGAACTATTTTTGGATTCTCCGGTACATTTCCTATAAACTCAATATATAATTGAAGACAATTCATTATCACAGCAATAATATTAAATTAAATATTGTTGTGTGCTCTAAAGAGAACACTGGGTCTGAAAGGGTTAATGTATCATGCTTAAATTATGAGCGATACCTCTTAAAAATGTTAATATGTCCCTATTATTATAATTGCTAACAATTTTAAAGATTCGCTTATCAACATCCAAAAATTTTTTTTGTTTTTTCGGTGGGCTTTTACTAGCTTCTAATTGGCAATAAAAAGTATCCCGACCACTCTGTATTTTTCTTAAGCAAGATATAAAAGCCCATAGTGTTGGATTAGTAACCCCCATTTGAACATTGAGTCGTCTATTAGCAGCTTCGGCATAATTTTTAATTCTATCATTTTTATTTAAAACTCGTTTGTGGACATTCCACAGATTTGGAGGAAAACGTGCATTTCGACGTTGATTTCTATGAACTCTACCTTTATAATTTTCTTCAAACCAGTCTAACAAGGGTAAGATTTCTTCTGGTAATTCATCCGACAGAATGTCCATATTAACACTTGGCGCCGAAACGTACCTCGCGCCGAAATGTCCTACATCGCAGACAGCTGGAAGTTCCAGGCATAATTCGGGGGTGGCAAGGGATGGCAGTTGCCACCCCAGAATTTTGAAATAAAAGTCTCAATAAATTACAAATACCTAACTGAAAAATACCTGAAAATGAAATATAGTATAATTTTCATCGATAATAAAAATAATAATAAAATATTTTAAAGAAGTATATTTTTGGAATAATTGTAGGTATTTATCATGACAAAATATACATGTATATACAAAATGTATACAAAAATAATAGTCATTATTAGGGTCGCGACAACGATACCACACGCGCTTCGGTACTAGTTTCCTGGAAAGTTATCGGTTATTTTTAGTTTCTAACTCGAATGGTATAACTGATATTTCATTGTTCATAGCTGGTACAGTTTGATGTCAGACGTCAGTATTGATGTGTAAAGATTGAACTGATGCAGTGAGACATGGTAAGTTAATTTTAGTTATTTCAATAATATGTTTAACTAGTGATGTAAAAATACAGTATTAATTTACTTTGTATAATACAGTGTGTATCAAACTATGACATAATTAATTTTGTATTATACACTAAACAATATTCAAATTTTTTTATTTTATAATATACAAAAATTTTGAAATTGCACGATGACAATACATAGTAAAATTAATGCGCGTTTGTAAGTCGCTTATTGTCAGTAAGTAAAAATAAATAAATAGTAATCACGGGACACGGGTTATTCATAATACGTAATCCATATACTATTATTTTTTTATAATCGTACATTATGTTTGACGTTATGACAGGTTTCCCTAAATTAAGTTTACTTGTTAATCATTATTAGTTTTTATCAATGTGTTCTTTATTTTGCTATATATATAGTGTTACATGGTGATGCGATAACGATCGACAATAGTTATCGTTTTCTTTGAAATGCAGATAATATTATATTTTTAGATTGCAGCGATGACGTTAAGTTTAGATTTTTATATACCTATATTTTATTTTTCTATAATCAATGACCCTATGTATATTTTTCAAAAATTATTATGTTTATAACTCATAAAAATGCAATAAATAATTATCTCAAAATAACGGTTACTATTCATATTTTTCCTAAATATTATTATCATTATTATTCTTATATTATATCTGAATGCAATATTTTAATAATTTAGTTACATTTAAACTGTGGTTTAAAGCTTTACATGTAATGTGTAATGTTTATTATTTTTTTCTTAATGAGGTAATATTATACATTGAAAACTTAATATGTTTGTAACTAAGTACTAACATTGTGCTCGCAACAAAACAAAACCGGTGAATTGACTTAAATTATATTAAAATATAGATGTTTTATGTAATTTACTTTATTTTTAATGATAATCTAATTTTTAAATAAATTTTATATTACATAATTCCCTCCAAATTGTTCAAGCGCCGCCATTGAATATATTTATAAACCGTAAAATAAAAAGTTTTCATATATTCCCTTACGCTTTTAAATATTCCATAAATAATTTCAAATTACAATAAAATATAAATATCTTAAAGTGGCTCTAACTATCGTAAATCAACTCGCTATAATATAATTAGTATCAATGTTTATTATATATGAAAAAGAGTGCAAACACTTAAGCTTAATGGGTTAGGCTTGAACCCAGTACAGTTGCATTCTTTACTTTTAACTAAACAACCACACTACAACTACCGCTCTAAAAACTCTATATTTAACTTAAAATTGATCAAATGTTTTTGAATTTTTAAATGTCATCATCATCTTTTCTTACGGGTTTTTTCCCAGGCTCAAAAAAACAAAAAATGGGCAGAGTTCGTTGCTGTCCATCTTTAGCACAGACCCACCAAACAAAAAGAAACGGTTTGAAGATAAAGCGCTGGAAGGTTTTGTTTTGGAACATGAACTAGAACTAAATGTAGAACATGTATCAGGCTCGTCATCCGCTCAGTCAACCGCAACTACTAAGCACATTGCTCCTATATATGAAATTCAGATGCCCAGCTGTTCTTCTAGTTCAACTGGTCAGTTTGAAATTGGTCTAATTAATAAACGTGATCCTGCCCATGGTCCAAGTATGGCTATAGTGTGTTTTGGGGAAGGCTTATTTCAACCACGGGATTTTAATTTCCCTAAAACGGATGGTAGGAAATTTAGACCGGAGTGTTATAAAATTTTTTCTTGGCTGGAATATAGTCTTCTAACCGATAAAGCCTTCTGTTTTGTGTGTCGTTCGTTTTACAACTCAGAAGGTAAAAATAATGCAGAAGATGTATTTACACTCATTGGATTTTCCAAATGAAACAAAGCTGTAAAAGTATTTGAGAAACATAAGAAGAGTAACTCACACCAAAGTAATAACATAAAACTCAATTTTCTAAAAGAAGCGAACAAAAGTGGCACTATTATTGAAAAAGTAAATCAAAAGTATTCAGAAGAAATACAAGAAAATAGATTGTACTTGGAAGCTTTGTGTGAATCGTTGATATTTTGTGGCCGGCAATCTATTGATCTAAGTGGTCATGATGAATCTACAGATTCAAAAAACAGAGGAAACTTTTTGGAGTTGATGAAACTTCGTTCCAAAGATAATAATTTAATAAAAAAATTCTTCATATAGTATCGTAAAAAATTTCAGTATACTTCAGCGACTTTTCAGAATGAGCTATTGTCCATTATTGGGGAACAAATTAAGTGTCAAATTGCTAAAGAAGTTAAAGGAGCCAAGGTTTTTGCAATTATAGCTGATGAAACTCAAGATATAGCAAAGCACGAACAAGTAGCTATTGTCTTGAGGTATGTTAATGAAAAGTTAGAAGTTCATGAGTCATTTGTGGGGTTTTATCGTGCTAAAAGAACTGATGGCAAAACACTGTCAAATGAACTTAAAAATGTTTTAATTTCAATGAATTTGAACATTAAAAATCTGCGTGCTCAGTGCTATGATGAGGCATCGAACATGAGAGGCCCATACAAAGGAGTGGCAGCTATAATTATGCAAGAAGCCCCAATAGCTATGTAGCTGTTGCACGCGCGTGTCTTCAATTAGAAATACGTTCTTTGTACTTCAAAGTCTTTACAACTTCATTGAGAAATCAACTAAACGACATGCCATTTTTGAAAACATTAAAAAAAGTTTTCAGAGTTTTAGTGGTGGAACATCAACATTGAAATATTTGAGTAATACCAGATGGGCTTGCCGTGTCGAATCAGTGCGTTCTTTATTAGATAATTTTGATACCACTCTGACTACTCTACGAGAAATTTCTGATACGGACCCTGACAGTGGTGGACAAGCCAATGCTTTATTGAAAAATCTGGAGAACTTAAACTTTGTATTTGACCTGCTATTACTGAAGAGAGTTCTAGCACAATGTGACATACTATCAAAAATTCTTCAGTCAAGCAGTGTTACTTACGAAATTGTGAAATCTGTAAAAAACAGCACTCTTGAAGTATTGAAATCCTTCAGAACAGATGAGTTTTTCTCAAAGTTGTTCAATCACTCTACAGAAATCGCTGACAAGTGTGGATTTAGAGCTGCCCAGCTGCCAAGACAGGGAAAAATCCCCTCGAAAATTGGGGGAGGGAGTAAAACTCAATTTGAATCTGTAGAGCATTACTACAAAGTTTCAATTGTCTGGCCAGTTATTGATATCCTAAACGAGGAGATAGAGACCAGGCTTCAAGAAAAAAACCGGGATGTACTTAACAATCTAAGTAAAGTTCTAGGTGGAACTGATGAAGATACAGCCAGTGTTAAGTATGAGTGTAAATATTACAATTTAGACAATGAACATCTTTTGTCTGAATTGAGATGTTTCTATAAAATGGAAGAATCAAGAAACAAAACTATTCAAGAAAGATCTGACGTTTTTATACAAAAATCTTTGAAAAGTGTGTTCCCTATGCTTTTTGAACTTTTTCGTGTTTTTTACGATTCCAATGAACTCGGCATCTTGTGAGAAATCTTTTTCGTGCTTGCGACGGTCAAAAACATACACCAGAAACAAAATTCGCCAGAAGAGGTTGTCCTCGTTAGCACTTTTGGCTATAGAAAGAAGTATTGGAGTAAACATTTCCAAAGTGATTGACGACTTTAATTTAAGCCAGAAGAGAAGAGTTAGTTTTGTGTAAAAATAATTTAAGTATATTTTAAATTAAAACATTTTTTTTTTGTATCACGTTTACTTGATTTATTCTTTTTTTTTTATAAACAAATGAGCTAGGCACACATAAATTAAAATTAGGCACATTTTTATGTTGTGTGTGAACGATAATTATTTTACATGTGGTTTAATTTATAATTCAAGTCGTTATAAATTATTTTTTCAGGACAAATTGTTAGCAGTTTAATTTTTACAGAAATAGTCTGAGAGTTTCAAAAATAAGAAACTTAAAGCCAGTTTTTGAAAAAAAAATTCGGGAAGGGGTGGGAATATCCCTCGGACCCCTTTCACCAGGGAGTATTCCTTACCGCCCGATAGATCTTGCCACCTCAGTTTAAAAGGTGAAATGACGCCCCTGCTGGAACTTGAACGAATCAGCCTAAACAATGAACAACCCAAAATACTGTCTTCCGGTCCAAATGGATAGCTCAATTCCCGCCGTCCGGAACAAACGAACAACCACCCTTTCCACCGTTTGACCCGGAGAACGGATTGCCGGAACTCCCGCCATCTGAACCAAGTGGACAGCTACCCTTTCCATGGATCGCCCAAAATCTCGCAAATCGACCAGAAATGCAGTGAAATGCAGGACCTTTTTAGAGTTCCGCTTTTAACCGGTCGACGATCAACAAACCCACCTGATATGTCGGTTTCGCATCAGCCGATAAATAAAACGTGAAATGTGTGGTTCGCCTGGCGAGTACGATTTCTAGAGAAATTCGTTGGCAAGTAATAAACATCAAATTAACAAAATAACAACATTATATTTAAAATATCATCTATGCACCAACGACGACACGTAAGGCACACCGCACAGTATGGAAACCGGGATATATAGATTTATTTTATAGCATATCTTAAATTTAATCACTCATTAAGGTCCATTTCACCAGCACCCCCACTTTCAAATTTCGGATCCGATCCGGTCCCAATCGTTTGTACCTGATTGTACCTCTAACCTCTTCGTTTGTACCTCAACAGTTTTTAAGTTATCCCTGTTTTACTTGGGAGGATACAAGTAAATCATACTTTTACTCTAGAAAATAAAAAACATTGTGTGTAAAGTTTAATTTTGTCTATGATACATACATTAACTTAGTTTAAGTTATCCCTGTTTACTATCATGTACATTTTCAACATTTCTTAAGTTCGTGTGGTTAAAATTTTTAAAATTTTGCATTTTCCGCATCAGATGTACTTCCATGACTAGTGTGAGCTTAGGCATATATCATATTCAAATTTACAATATATTTTTAATAAAAAATGAATTAAAATACAAACGGTTGAATATAAATATATGTGTATGTAAATTGTGATTAAAGTTATACTAATCAACTTCACTTTAATTCTGTTTTAATAAATTATATACGTAATTTTTTTTGAATTCACTATTTATAATATATATTTATTTTATTTCTTAATAAAAAGTAATAAGTGTTTTATTAAAATTTATCCAATGGTATTTATTTTGTTATTAGAACTCTAATATTGAAATATTTTATCTTGTAGTTTGTGTAATAATTAAATGCGCCTATTTATTATGATTATTTAATTATTATTTATCAATTATCTATTTTTCAATTTTAATACTATTTTTCCTTTTTTAGATTTTTGTAATCTTTATATACCTTCAGATATTTATTGTATGTTATATTGTATCCTATTGTATTTGTATCCAAACTATACTATCTGTACTATTGGGCTTGGCCCATTTTATTCTACTGAATAAACTATTATTATGCTATTATAATGTTAATTAGGTACACGTTATTTTCCGTTCGGATTATAACTTTGATCTGAAAATCTTTTTGTAACAATTTAAAATTAACACATTAAATATATTTAAGTCAAACCCCGTGTTGAATCTTTTTTATTATTTATATATTGTTTTTTATTTTATTATTATTATTATTATTTTAACAAAAAGACCGACGGCACGATTTTATTATAATCCGACACCATCTGATCACCGGTAATATTATTTTAACATATTTGTGAAAAGATTATTCCATCAAATACTAAACAAAGTCTCTATAATATTTGGCTTTTAATTTGATTATTATTGATGTTATCAAAATTCAATAATTTCCTATTAAATATAAGGTCCATTTTCCCAGCACCGCTACATTGGAATTTTTAATTTTATTTTTATTTTTTATTGGATTGTGCTACGTTAGTGTCGTTTGTTTTACTTGGTCCCGCGTTTGTGCTAACTTCCTAACCCTAACTAAATTATTCGAATTCATTTGAATTAATTTTTTATTAGAAATGTGTAAAATTGATAATGAATTGGTTATAACATAATATACATATATCTACTTATTATATATTTACGTAATATTTTAATAATAATCATTAATAATTATAATAATTAATAATTAAGTTATTTTTTTTATATTTAAAGTATTTTAGATTTTAAGTATCATTTTCGAAGTTTTGGTGCTATTATTTGTCAATAAACATAATAATATAATGCTTTATTTAGAATGTATCATAAATATTATTTATAGTGACTGAAAAATAGTATTTATTTATGTATTATAAGAAAAATTCCTACATTTTTGTTTTTTGTCCTGATTATTTTTTATTGTTAACAGGAGTTATATTTTTTTTCTTCTAATAAACATTGATAAAATTATAATTGTAGATACCAGTAGTGGATTTAATGGTCGTTTAGTCGGCGAATGCCGACAGGGCTCCTTCCTAAAATGTTTATTGAGGCCCAATAAAATTATTAAGTTAATTTTTTTAAATTTTACCTCAAAAAATTTAAGTACAAACTATCATATCGTTTATAATTACCATTTTTGTTTATAACAAAATAATTTAAATCTACAGGAAATATTCAGGAATACTACGAATACTTCAAAAATAGAACATTTTATTTCTGAACAAAATAGAAAAGATCGAATATAAATTAAGTTAGAAATTCTGTTAACATTGATTATAGAATTCTATACAATTTCTGATTATGAACAATATACGAGTTTATAATCAATGATTTTATTATCAGTTTCGTTGCATCACGTTATTTTTAATGTACCATTTTCTATTTTCGTATCACGGAAACGCGAGTGTAGCGAGCAGCTTTGTAAAACGGGGCTAAGAATTTTAGTGATATATTTATTACGAGGCCCCTCTTTTAGATTTGCCGACTTCATTTGAACTTTAAAATCCGCCTCTGGTAGATACTTATTCAAAAAATAAAAAAAACTTTCAGTTAAAGATAAGAAATAAAATAAAATTTTGATTTACTTTTCTTTTTTTTTTTTATGTTTTTAGGGTAAAGCATATTTTAAGGTTTTTCGGTCATATTAGTCATATTATTGTGCGCATTACAATACTTTTACATATTATGAAATCTGTACCTTTGTTAACTATGATTCATAGATAATAACCGTTATAATATAAAATCAAATTTTTGGACTGTGGTACTTGATACATACTACCTACATAAATGTCATAATTTGTGATAAATTTTATTAATATTATTAATATGTATATCAATATTATTCTATTTTACAGTAATATTTATACACTTCGGGTATAAATGAGTATAAGTTTCGGCAAATAGTCCGGCGGCGAAACGGTCGCGGCGAAATGTGCGAGTCCAATTAATAACGTTGTGTAGCATGTTATGGAAACTATAAAAATATACATAATTAAAGTAATATAATCTCATGGGTAAACAAACACTCAATAGCATTATAATTTATATTATTAACGGGTAACTCATGGCAGCTGTTTACAGTTGGTTGATTTGCGGAAATCCAGTTTACCTATAATATCAATAGTGTCTATACAACTATATAATATAGTAGTTTGCCACGTCCATCCCACCTAGAAATGTGTGATTTTTTTCATGTTTACAATTAATACATAATTTGTATGAATTTGTACGACCATTTTATCACTTTTATTGATTAGCAAAGTGTTATACTCGTATTAATTAGTATTAATTATTTTTAGAAGAATTCTGTATGCTTAAAAACATCTTATATCATTATATTTATAGTTGTATTATTAATATTTATACAAAGATGTAAAAAGATATTCCAGCTTTTATGACAATTAAACATCAAATTTACAAGCTTCGTGGGGTCGTACATTTATTAAAACCAACACATATAACTGTAGATATTATTGGTCATATTACGTCATATTGTTATCGAGAAGAATTAAACAAATGAGAATTGTAAGATGATTATAACGATATCCCACAAAAATGTAAAGGCACTACAGTTATTAATGCATTAATGATTATTTACACTATTTAAATGTAATGCATAATAATATATACATTTGCTATATATTACTTATAATATTAATATATGAAAGAAATTATCATTATTTTTATTTTTATTTTCTATTACTTTTTTATGGAAGCACTAAAATTAGTATTAAATTACTATTATGTTTTTTTTTTCTATTATTATTCTTTATTACTTACAAAGCTTAGTTAGCACTCCTCACTCAAGAAATATACATTAATGGTAAATATTTTTTGCAGATAATAAAAATATACTTCAACAAAAAATTTATAAAAATACTCTTCTATTTTTGTCATGTATGGTCTTGAGCAAATTTTTGAATAACATCTTCATAGCTTAATACTGTAGTAACATCAGCTTTTATTCTTAATCATAAAATTACTAATGCAGATAGCTTTTCTTCTTAGCTATGTTGGATAATAATAATTCATTATCATTAAATAAAATAGACACCAACAAGTATTAGAAGATTTAGCTAATTAAGCATTTAAGTTTTTTTTTTTTTTTTGTATTATATAGCTATAGAAAGCTATATTTAATTAGAAATTACTATAATATATTAAATAAGCAATTGATATCAGGACATGAAAATAGGGAAATAAATACAATAATAATAATAATAATAATAATAATAATAATAATAGTTATTAACTCTATACTAACATATAATTAGGTTTGCTATTCATTTAATTAAGTAACTACATTTTTTAGTGATTCTTACTAAACAACTAATTTGATTTGTGTATCAAGAATCAACTTTTTTCTTCTTTTTTTTTCGAGATTCCTATATGGCGGGGCTAACATTTCTTCAGCCTGACTGAACTTAAAATTTGATTTCACAGGGTTAGAAAGTCAGCACAAACGCGGGACCAAGTAGAACAAACGGCACTAACGTAGCACAATTGAATGAAATAAATAAATATTTTGGGAGGTGGTTTAGGTTGTAAATTTTTATAATAATATAATATATATAACAATTTTACTATATAAAAACATATTCAATTATTTTCTTGAATTTTGGGAGGGATTTGAATCCTTAAAACCCTCTTTGTGTACGCGCCTGGCCACAGGTGTAGTTTAACAGATAATTATTTGCATTTTTATTTATACATTCTCTTTATATATAAAAAATAATATTATTCATATATAATATTATATCAATTTTACTGGGGCTTATGTTGATAACATAGTTATACAATAATTGAAGGGTGGAAATGCAAAATGTGATATTGCCAAAAACCAAAATGTTCACAAATCTAGGAAAACTGTAACATATTTCTAAATATCTAATTGTAAACATTGTTTTTAATGCTTTAAAAATGTCGTGTCAGACCAAAACGTGATATTACCGGCAATAATTGACGTAAATATAAATTTATAATAAATAGTATAAATAATAAAAAAAAATTTAGGTAAAACGGTTTATTATAGAAAATATACGATAAAATACCCATTCGAACAACACTTTATTCATATGCTCCGATGGTATGTGGTACAGACCATGGATGAACCTAATATAATTAAATACTAATAATTTAATTATTAATTTACACTGTCTAGTGAATGGGTTGAATTGTAGGTGCCACCAGGATTTTTAATTGTTGGGATTTGGGTATAAGGGGCATGAGACACAAAACTTTAATTGGGCCACGTATATTTCAGTTACCTACACCATAATAATTAAAAAAAAAAAAACTGTGTAGTTTCATTTTTTTAAATGTTTTCTTTCGAAAATCAAGTGTTAAGGTACCTCCAGACTTTAAATGCTTTTGGGATCTTTAGGAATCTTTTCGACATTTCCCAACGTTACATAATATGCATTGTAACTGTAAAATGTTCTATGTCTTTAAATATGTATATTATACTTAAACAAAAATATACACACACGCGCACACTTAATAGATACTTATGTATATAAAAAGACATATTATCAAACAAAAAGAACATGTATTTTATTATATATATATATATATTTAATTTTTACTGTTTTTTAAAATATATTAAATTTTTTTAAAATAACTTAATAGCTTATAGTGCCTTATATCTTCAAAATTATTTTGTTAATTAAATTGCACAGATCTGTTCTAAATTAATTTTTTGAACACGCCTTCTGTAAACAGGTAAATAATAATTAATATCATTTATTAATTAATAGCAGTTAAGTACTTTGTGTGCACTACTTTGAGTATTCGAGTAAAAAAAAAATGAATTTATTCAATAAATTACTTGGTACTATCTATATGTGACATATTCAGTTGATTAATTATCTCGAAAAATATAAATATGAACCATTAAAATAATAAGCAATGATAGGTAAATTCTCAACTATAAAATATGGTATTATTATTAACCATTATTTTCACGTCAACTCAATTAATTTAAAAATAAAAATAAATAAAATTACAAAACATATGTAATAACCCAACATATATTCTTCTTATCAACAGCTTAGCGGTCCATGTAGGTCCATCGCTGCCACCATTATCTCATTCCATCGGATCCCATCTTTGGCATCTTACATTTTTACGTTTTCATGAATCATTTTAAGATGAAGCATAAATATTTATATATATATATATATATATATATATTTTAAGATAACGCAACTTATATATCCAAATTAATTAAAATTGGATAAATAATTGCAATCATATTTATTTATTTGATAATTAATATTTAATGTGTACCTTATACACAATACGCATACTTTAAATTATTATGTAGTTATATTTTAATAGAACCAGAAAGTACGTACCTACATTAAAATAAGATATATACGGATACATTATTGTTTGGAGATTATAAAGAAGTGGGTATGACATGTTTATACACAATTTACAACTATAATTTGAAATTTCGTGTAGGGGTACGACCCACGTTAGTAACGTAGGGTAGAAGTCAGCATTCAAGGTTATCAAACACCGTTGTTACATTTTTCTTAAAAATTATTAAATTTTTAAATTTTTTATTAAATATATATAGCTATTGCTTTGGCGCCATGATCTTATATAAATTATAAATATATTAACCATTAACTATTAATGGGTATACATTTAAAAAAAATGGAGTATATATGTCAAAGTCTGTCACGTTCATTGTTTATAGGGTACTATGACTAAAATGTGTACGTGCAGTTCTGGGCAATATTTACTATTTAAATAGTGTTGTTATACTGTTTTGTTGTTATTACAATCAAAATAAATGTACACAATATGTTAACAATATTATGTACATATAAATAGGATACGTGTTTTAGGACTATCTATATAGTACAATAATTATTGTATATTATTCAATATTAAAAGTTTTTGATACCGTCGGAAAACGTCGCACTAAGAAAAGGATAAGCTTCGATGTCAAAGGTTTTCGGCGAATTTGAAAGTTTGAAATAATGAGATGGAAGATTTAGTAGGGTGAAATCGGCTAGACTTGTACAGTATACTAATGTGAACAAATTATTTTAATATTATCTTGCGTTAAACATTAAATTTGATACGATGAGCAGACGCTATGTTGGTGGTGGTACGTTCTACATGGAGGCAACGGTGCACGGTGCGGCCAGCAGTTGGAAAGCAGGTTGGTGGCACTGAGATGGAAAGTTTATTTTTAAGCCAATCATATAAGCGTTTCGTTTTGACAATAGCCCATTAGTTTGGTTCTCACTGCCGTCGACCGAAGGTCAGTGGATATTCGTCCGCAGTAGTCGAACTGTATTCTGGTATGCGATTTACGATAATTGTTGCTCCCGTGATGCTCCCGTCGTCACCGTCGTGTGTTCGCCGATGACGTCCGCCGTAGTCGGCCACCGACGACCATTCGCGTTTTGCACGCGCCACAATCGTGCCGTCACCGCCGGCGCCTGTGCCTGTGCCGTCGTCAACGCGTCGCGTTAGATCGATACAATAATTTACGCGCAGAGAGAGAGCGCGATCGCCGTGTACACGGCCATCGTCTTCGTCTTGTTTTTTTCAGCGCTCCGCGGCAAGTTACGCCCGTAAGCGCGAGCTGTGGTCTCTAGAATAATCGCCGAACAGTTCGGTAAGTAGTAAACACGGTTTTTCCCTCGGGGCACCCGTTTGCGCGTTGACGATAATATTACGCAGAGGGGGCACCAGCGCGTCGAACCCTCCGTCTCGGTTGTTGCTGTTCGCTGGGCTGCTAGGGCCGCGATGACCCAGTTTTCGTCAACGGGGCTCGTCTGCGCGGCGAGTCGTCGGGAAAGCTAGTCGCGGGACTTATTATCATGTCCTATTTACGACGTATACCTACGTGTGTGTGTGTTTGTGTGTGTTGCGTATGTGCGTGCGTGTGTGTGTGTGTGTGTGTAATTACATTGTACCAGTGGGCCCGTGATAACGGCGAAGGAAGTAGTGATAACGACGGCGATGGGCCTAAACGACGAAGTCGCCGTCTCAATAACAGTATGTGACGACCCCCGGCCGCTCCGCGTGGGGAGGGGGGTTACGTTCTCGTTCTTCTCGAGTTCGCGTGTTCTACATCTTTGTTTTCTCTAGGTTTGCCGTGTTTATACTATTATTGCGAAATGCATATCTTTGCGATATAAGGGTTTTCTAAGTTTTTTTTTATTATTATTATTATTATTCGTGTTCCTCTTCGTCCTGCAATCGATATCCGTCTGGATGTATACAACACCGCTACACCTAAACAACACCGTCGTGTGCGTGCGCGTATGTGGGTGTATGTGTGTGAGCATTTGAATTCAACTGTAAGCGAATTCCCCATCGTCCCAGCGATATCATGATTAAATTACTAACCGACCCCTATATATTTTACCCCCTTCCCTCGTTCTTATCTTTGTTGTTTTCTCCATTTATATGCCACTTCTGCTGTTGAATCTTTCGCCGACGAGTATTTATAATATTATTTTCGCATTTGTCACGTAAGACGTGATTTGTTTATGTAGTTTTTCGTCCGTTTCCCCTCCATCACCCGGGTCCTCCTTAGATTCTGTTCAGTTATTAGTTTTCTTGTCAATTTTCTGCGATATTTAAATGAGAGAAGAGATTTTGTTGGTTATCTTTTTCACATAATTCTGGACAACTTCGTATTGTTTGTTACCATTTTGTGTTTGATTGTACACATTCTTCGATGACCTTGGTGACACTGAAATCAAATTTAAGTACCATATTTCAGTAAATTTGGGCAACTGCATATACATTAACTTCGAGTTTTGTGTATTATTTATTTTGATGCATTATCAAATACTTAGGAAAATCATTGATTTTGTATTTATGGTAATCATTCTTAACAAAAATGTTTTAAAATTATATTGTACTTAATTTAACACCTATGTATGTATTCCCTTATAGACTTTATGTTTCATTAGGGTTTTTATTATTTATACCATCTAAAATTGATTACTTACAGATATTTTAAATTTTTGACATTGAAATATTGGTCCCAGTTAATACATTTATGTTATGTATATAGGAAGTTCTTTTTCAATTGCATATTGGATTTATAGTAAAATAATATGAGTGGAGTTTTGTTTAGATTATCTTGTTTTTATTTTTATTAATGGTTTGGGTGTATTCTATTTCTTGCAAAGTAGTCATAAAAGGAGTAAATATTTATTATTGTTACTAATATAATTACACAAATTAATATAGGTTGATTTTATTATCAGGGATAAATGTATGTACATTTTTGTTTGGTAATATTATAATACTAAAAATATCTAAATTAGAAAAAAAAAGGCACTTAAATAAGTTTTTAATTAAAAATATATTGTGTATAAATAATCTATTATTAAGTAGTTATGTAGATATTTTATTATTAAAACATTACTGTAGGTGATTTTAAACTTTTAATACAATAATTAACTATTTGTCTGATTTTTACCACTAAGATATATTGTTGTTTATTTCAAAATATTCTCAAAATTGATATTTTAAATAACATTAATCATTATTTTATCAGCACTTCTTATTTTATCAAAAAAAAAAAAAAAAAAGTTTGTAATATTTGTAATAAGTATATTTTCCTCAATAATTTCTAAATTAAATATTTAAATGTGTGCAAAATACATAATAGTTATTTCTAATTGTTTATAATTTTTCATTGAAAATTTGTTCTAAACTTTATATGTTTAATTTTTCAGGAATCTAGCCTCTTATATAGCAGGCTGATTGCATTTACTTCATACGCTAGCTGAATGATTCTTAAATTAATGGATCAAAGAGGTATTAAGGATTTATATCCCATAGTTTTGTATGTAAATGGATAATTTTAACATACCATTGCTGAAGTTGAGTGAAATGGATAATAGCAATAATTGTTTTATCAGTGATCCATCTCTATTTTCCCACTTGGAAATAGACCAAGATCATGAATATCTAAAACAGTTCTTATTGGATCAAGATAAAACTACACCTCATCAACCTCTACATGTTCCAAACTATGATCCATTATCATACAATAATATGTTACATCCTAACAATAACATAATGCAAGATGCATATCGGAACAGACTTGATTCAAACCAGTCATTGAGTCAAAGTTTTAACAAAGATAACTCAAACTTCATGAATGATTCTTATGGTGGCTACACAGTACTAACACCAAATCCTTCACCAATGGCTTTTAATTACAATCCTCAGTCATTAAGTACAAACTTTAATTCAGTGGACACCACAAGTTCATCGATTCTACCACTACCTGGCTTTGATCCTACTACCATTTCAAATCATGTAGATACCTTCATGCCTTCAGTTACTACAGGGCCATCAACGATGCCAGACTTTAATAATAGGCAAATAAGAAATGATCAGTATTCTCCTGGTATATCTCCAACTATAGCTAGTTTTCCTACACCCGCTAGTGTATCTGATAGTCCTGGTGCTGGAGCCTTAAGTGCATCACCTATGTGTAATGGTGAGAATTCTAGTTTAAGTGACAGTGTTATTAGTCCTGCTACTACTCAAAGAACTGGTAGTGAGCGATCTGTAGAAACAAATCCACGATCAATTGAAAGTGTATCAAGTGATCTATGTTCACCAAGAGTTGATTTAGAATCTTTAATTATACAACCTCCACCCACTGCAGTCATTACCAATGGAGAGTTACACAAGACTACAGTTGTTCCACCCAAAATAAAACCAAAACCTATAGTTGCCAACGGTGTTACACTTACAAAATCCGGAAAACCTCGCAAACGACGTTCAGCTCCAAAAGAAAAACCAGTTAAACCTAAGAAACCTCCAGTAGGTTCAATATATCAAAGTGAAATTGCTGAAAATGGCGGTATTAAATTAAAAATATCATTAACTGCAATGCCACAAAAGAAAAAACGAAAAAGTAGAAAGAAATCTGATGATAGTAAAATTATGCAATGTGATGAGCCAATTGAACAAAGTTCTTGGGGTGATCGGTTACCAGAACCTATACTATTTGAAATCTTTCGTTTAGCAACTAAAGATGAAGGATGCATTCCATTTCTTGTCAGGTAATAAAATTAAAATAAATAATTTAATTAAACTTTGAATATGTTTAATAATATCTCAATTTATAAATCATTTGTATGTTCTAGGGTGTCTCAAGTATGTAGGCTTTGGCGTATTGTTGCCTCTGACCCCTTACTTTGGACTAATATTGATTTAGCTGGACGATGGGTTTCCAAAAATCCTATCAGAAATGATATTAATTTTAGATGGCTTTGTGAAAATCGACTTGCCAAAGTTCAGGAACTCAATTTAGGTAAATATTATAAATTGTATTAAATTAATGTGGTATTTAAATTTTAAATTATAAATATTTAGGTGGTTGGCAGTTTACTGGTATTCCAGCTATACTAGATAGAATTAGTACCTCTTGCTTGGATCTACGAGGACTGAGTTTAACAGGCTGGGAAGGTTTAAGTTTAAATAATGTTAGGTTTCTTGTCACTAATTGTCACAAACTAGAACGAATAGATTTATCAGGAATAAATGTAAGATTTTTATTTTAAAACAAGTAATTAATATTTATATAATTTTAATAAACTTATGTATTTATTTAGGCTCAACATAGCAGTGGTAAAAGTGGAGTTTGTTTAAACTCTCTAATGTTCCTGACACAACACATGGGTCAAAGGTTGACACACTTGAATTTAGCTGATAATCGGCTTTCGGGGATTACACAATTAGTCAATTCTTTAGCTGTAAGTTAGATTTATTTTAAAATTTATTTGAAAAACTCTCAGTTATAGTATTTAAAAAACTCCTTTAGTTTGCATAAATGTTCCATTTATTTTTCCTTTTCTGGTTAAAATAATTAATATACATAGTGTATTATGAATATTATAATCGTCATCAGTATTAAAAGCATTTGATAAATTTGATATTATATTAACTTATAGTTGATATTTTCAAGAAGATAGTCTGAAATAACCATTTAGGGTGATATAACTTTTCATAAATAAAAGTAATGTAAATGGCTTCTTTCCCAAAACATAAAAGTTAAAATCTTTAAATATGCTTGTCATGCAATTGACTTGAAATTATCCTTAGAGTTAATTATTATTTAATAATTATGAAATTAATAAATAAATAAATTAATTAATTGTATGACAGTATAATTATTAGATTTAAATTTTAAAATACTCTTGATTATAATAAAAAATTAGAATTTCTTTTGTTTAATTGCATAATGTACATTTTTGTTTAAGTTGTTTATAATTTATTATATATATATTTATTTTATTTCTTATATATATATTTATTTTATTTCAGACTTACTGCCCTAATCTTCAATCTCTAGATTTGACTAATGTCAGAATGGTTGGTAATACTGGACACCTTCATATTGAACGATTACAAGGAGGTTGTCCAAAATTACGTGTATTAAGAATGATCACTAGCCAATTGTGTCTTAGTAATGTTCCATTAAATGAACAAGCCTTATCCCCGGGTTTTCCATGTTTGGAAGAACTATGTGTTGCTACAATATCTAATGATCTAAATGCTTCTGGACAACCATTTATTGATGATCAAGCTCTTGAGAGAATTCTTAAAACATCACATAAATTATGTGTACTTGATGTTAGAGGATGTTCTAGAGTGACAGATTCAAGTTTAGTGAGGGTTCCTGCTTGGGATTTAACTCACTTATATTTATCAGGTAATTATTTACTATTAATAATAAAATATTATTTAGCTTCTTATTTTTCTTGATATTATTAATATTTTAATATTAATTTGTTTTTATTTTTATCAAGGATCATATGTTACTCGAGTAAGTGATTCTGGCCTTGATCTGATATGCAAAAAGTGGAGTCATAGTCTTGTGGAAATTGATCTTTCTTGGTCAATTAACACTAAAACACTTGATGCAGCTGTTCTTGCTCTTTCAGAACAAGGAGAAAAATCTATGCTTAGGTACTTTATAATTTTTGTAATTAGTTAATTTTTTATATAACTAGTAATTGTATTTTTTGTATAAATATGAAATCTTATTTATTTTTAGAAAAATGGATCTTACTGGTTCTTCTATTAGTCTTGAACCAGTAAAGGCTGTGTTAAATAACTGTCCTCTTCTCAGTTCTTTGAACTTGGCATCCTGTCGAGGTTTACCAAGAGGCATTAAAAGGCTGTACAAAGGTCATTCATTGGCTGAATTACGAGCACAGCTTAATCATAAACCTGATTCATCTCAAGAATCTGAAGATGGAGGTTAGGGTTAACTTTTAAGGTACCTTCCATTTCTTTTTTACTGTTTTTTTTTTTTTTTTTTTTATTACTTTTTTATGTGTTATGTTTAAACAGTCAAGAGATTGTTGTTCAATGTGATAGTTATAAATTTACTTTTTTTTTATTATTATTATTAATATTAATTATTCTGCCGATACATTAAGTAATAGTACAAATTTTTAATAATTTATTTCATTTTCAATTTTCTTCCTTCAAGAAAAAAATAATACCAGATATCAAAATTGTGTTCTGATATTTTATTTGTATGGCCCACTGAAATTTTATATCATGTTATAGATTGGAATCCAAAATCATTAAATATATGTATGTATATATATATATATATAGTTTATTTACATGTTCTTATATATATATATATATATTTCTAAAAAATAAATCAATTACGATATTGTCTAAAAAGCTATCTAATCAATTTTATCTGTATAAAAATTAAGTTTTCCTAATATTTGTAATTAGTATTACAGATTGAGTCTCTATGTTTGATATATTAGGTAGCTCTACACAATATCATAAATTATTATTTTTACGTGGCTAGACAAAAATTTGAAGTATATTTATATATAATATATACATTTATATTTTCATGTGGTTTTAGCATAATTGTACTAATTGGGGAGGTTCGCATAATAAATATTATAAAAGTAATGCAACACAAATGTTTGAATATTTCTCTTATAGATTTTTTAAATGAGAAAGTTATAAACATTCAAATTCTATTCTTTACATAAGACTTCATTGCATAATTGCATACAGCAATTGTATTTCTTTTTTTTTTTTTTGATGAATTTATTAAATCAATAAATTAACAGTTAAATTATATTCCTTGAAAATGAGTCATATTCATAATATATACTCCAAAATGTTTAATATTATTAATATTGTTTTATATAACTTCTAAGCTTGGATCATTGATAGATTAATTCAGTTGAAATGCATGTGCCAAGTGTATTATTGTGTATTGAATACATGTTAATTAGTTTTTTATGATTATTGTCTGATATATTTAAGGCTTAAGATGGCAATAGCATTCCTATGGGTTTTAAGACATTTACCTTCTACTATTATTTAAAAAAAGTAAAATAGAGTTAATAATTTTAATTTAAAAATGATTATTTTTAACTTATTAATATATTTTTATAAATAAAAAAAAAATTGTTTTCTGAAGTCTCACCTTTTTAACTAGTTAGCTAATATCTTTAAAAGAAAATAAAAATCCTGAAACTCTTAACTATGCATTATTTTCTAAGCTAGCTATATAGTCAGTTTTACTATTGATATTTATATTATTTTTGTAAATATTTCCGAATATTTTTCATAAGTTACCTTTATTTATTATATTATTTTTAGTGCTTCTGTTTTAATTTGCCTGAATATAAAAAGTAAAGTTATTTCTCAAACCCTTTCTAAAGCAAATTTATTACATTTTTCTAAGTTACGTGGTTTTAAATTATGAAATATTAAAGTTAATACATTTTATTTCGGATAGTTTTTTTTTTTTTTTTTGAGAATAACCTCATACATTTGTTTATGTTCTTTCTAAATGCATTTTAAATAAATTATCATAAATATGTAAATATTGACAAATAAATAAAATTCTGAAGGTTCTCATTTTTTTTTTTATTATAACTTATATTTCTGCATTTTTCCTCCCCAAATAAGTATATATTTTACGCTTACTAACCACTACTAACATTTATATATTGTTTAGCCATAGGTACCCATTGCATTTTACAAATATTTAATAACTACGCATAAAACTAAATTTTATATTTATTTAACATTTTAATATAACAGAATGTTAAAGATTTAGTGTGTCCAACTATGATTTTATCAAATTCAGTCTTTTTATTATTTTTGTATTAATTAATTAATAATTAGAATTTTTTTTTTTTTTTGTATTAATCAATATTACAAAAATTATTCTCACTTTTAACATCATACAATTATATTTATCTTAATATTTTGTATTTCGTTAATGCGCAAAACAGACTAAATATTTGTACGGATATACAGTGTTAAATTTTTTTTTACATTAAAACTCATTGGACAGAATTCATGTATGATAATAAAATATTGTATTATTTCTACCAATTGCCAATATTTTGTTAGGGTTATTAAAACATCGAACATTTTTGTAGTCATTTTTGTTATTGTTTAATTCATAAAATCTTTAACTGTAAATCTTGTATAATTATTAATCTTCAAAATGCTGTCTTTTGTTATAATAAAAACTAAATATGTAATTTAATATTGTTAGAAAATTATATTTTCAAGTCTAGAATTTTTATTTCTTTAATTTAAAATTATAACCACATTTACGTTTGGGGCCAAATCATTTTCTTATTTTTTATTTTCTTCACTGTACTCTGGTAAATAAAAAATGAAATCCTTAATTATTTAATTTCTTCTCTAAATGCCACTAAATTTGTATAAATTTATGTTTTGTTTGTCTGTTAAGATAGTTGAATTATGTTGTTTTTTATTATTATTATTATTATTATTATTATTATTATTATTATCTTTAATTTAATTTTCTATAATATATCTTATTACTGCTGTATATAATAAAGAATGTTCTAATATAGATTATTATATTTTGTCCATAAAAGTGTAAAATATATATTGTTGAGACTGTAAAGAGGTATGTAAATGTATTGTTTATACATATGAATATAATTTTAAAATTTAAATAAACACTTGGATTATCAAAAATCGTTTAACATAATGGTTTTCACATATTTTCATCTATATTCCAATCATTTGCATCAACTGCCATTGCTTATAAACATGTAGGTATGTTTCAAAATGAATATTGGTTGTGGTTATTTTATATTTGAAACTGCTAAAAGACGATATTTATCCCGGTGAAGAAATGTGAAACACACATCCTGTTTATTTGAAAAGATTTACTTAATTTAAAATGCAATGCTAAAGAATCAAAATAAAATTATTATATGATATTCTGTGTGCTCTGTATTGATATGTTTATAAATTACAAAAAAGTTCTTTATCCATCATCATTTTTACAATGTATGCTATAAATAATTAACATAGAATTTTGTGCTTCTTTTTAAAAGATAAAATAATTTTAAATTTGATGAAAGAAAAACATTATATTTTCTATTAACTAATTTTTGTAGGAAGTATAAATATTTTATTCTTATAAATATGAATGACTAAGATAGTTCAAGACAGCAGTATTGTTGATTCGGTGATTGTATACAAGTGGAAACCATTATGTTTTATAAATTTTGTAAAACAATGTGTTGTATTGTTAGGTTAAAAATATCATTAGGATTTTATGTTGTTAATATTTTGAAAATCCAACCTTTTTTTGGCTTATGAAAACTAATGTTTTTTTTTATGTATAAATAGAAATTAGCATCAATTTTTTTTCTGCTACGTTAGAACTATTATGACATTAATTTTGTGAAAAAAGTCGCTCTCTATTGAAAAATTGTTATTTGGATTTATAATATAATTATAATTAATTAAATTATTTGGTAAATTATTTATATGTATACCATTTGAAAAAGGAAAAATATGATTTTTGTCTAAAGCGTTAAATGGTATGTAAAACACTGACTATCATTCAGTAAAATTTATAATTTATGAAAGATGCTTATTTTTACTATCATTAAAAATAGAAGCAAGGATAAATTTCTTTTCATTATAAATTAATAAGTATATTTATGAAAACAATACATTTTATATAACATGTGAAATTCGAAATAGATTGAAAATAATCATTTAGCAATTTGAAAAAAGTTTATAAACTAAATTAATTTTTTGGCTAAACAACTTAAGTGGATCGGTGAAGTGCAGTTATTTTAGTCAAAACATACCCATCTTTTGACCATCCTACCAATTGACCTAATAATGCGAAAATATTTCTGAAAACTAATTTGAATTCTTTATTGCGTCTACTGAGATTGATCAGTCCACTTTTCCCAATTTCACCCCCCTAAAAACTATAATTTAATTTGTATATTTTGAAATTTTTGAATTTTGAAAAGTTAATTAATCAGAATTCTTAAAATGTAGACTTACCGATCTTAAGTAAACATAATAATGAATTCAAATTTGTTTTTAGAAATATTTTCGCATATTTAGGTGGATCGGTAGGATGACTAAAAAGTACATAGTTTTTAGTCAAATATAACACACGTTCTGAATCGTTCGCGCGCGCGACGATGCAGCATTGACTTGTACGGCGCGAAAACGTTCCTCCACCACTACCATTCCACCGCAAATATCGCATGTCACCGTCTGCGACGGATTACTTAGAAATACTAATAGGCTATTCAAGGTACTGGACAATTATAAGTATCTTATATATATATTAGTATATTAATAATTTGGTATGAATTAAAAATAAAGAAATATAAAATAAAAGATTGTTCTGAATAATTTATTCATTTGAGCTTCGCTTCACACAAACAAGTCACTACTAAAGTTGTTTCACTAATGAAAAATATTAAGACGTGTTTCCGTTCTTAGATAGTTTTTATACGCTGCACATGAATTGCGTCCCAACGTAAAAACATTAATTTCCTTCCCATTTCATACAGACTTAGAATTGTCGATAGCAAATTATGACTATCGGTAGGTTAAAAATATTGATTTTTATCGTTGTTATGCAATTATATATAAGTAAAATGAAATGTGAAGATTTAAATTATAGGAATGTAATATAATAATTAAAATAAACAGTAGTAAAGAAATTTATAATTATAAAATTAAAAAATTAAAAAACTGATATATAATCAGAAAATTGCTGTACTTTTTCATCTTCGGGTAAAATTGATACAATTTGATACAATTCCGTCCGTAAAACGATCCTCCACTTCATCTGATATTAAAAATGGAAGACCAAAAAAATATTTTAAGAAAATACTAATATCTGAATTTGTTTCCGTATTCTTGACTTAAACCAACCTTTTGAATTTTCCTCCACCAACTATGACCTAAATGAAACCTCCTTTCATTTGAATTAACGGCCAAACTTTTTTTTTTTTGTATTTTTAAGCTAGAGAATTGTACAATCTGTAAAATTACGGTTTATAATAAGCATAAGTGATAAGGGAGTTAGTATAGAAAAGACAAATAGTGGGTAAATTAACAGACAAGTCGAATAATTACTATTATTTACATCGATTCAGACGGAGGATTTGAGTGAAGAGACCATCCAT